ACTGCACCAGAGTGCTCTCTCTCTCTCTCTCTCTCTCTCTCTGTGTTTCTCTTAGTGTGTTCCCACAGAGATTCCTGAAGATAAGCACGGTCAGGATCCTGGGAGGTTGTGCGTATGTACGGAGCACTCCCGCTCTATGGGATCGGCAGGCATCTGCTGCAGGGGCCTCGAAGTTGCCGTGGTGGGGTCTAGCAGCAGTGGGAGGTCAGGAGATCCTTGGAGGCGGTCATGGTAGTGAAGCTCTACTGAGCCTGGCCTTCGTCAGTGCTGGAGATTCCTGAACATAAGCAAGATCGGGATCCTAAGAGGTTGTGCGAACGCACAGAGCACTCCTGCTCGACGAGCTCGGCAGACATCTGCTCCAGGGTCCTTGGCGTTGCAGAGGTGGGGTCTAGCAGCGGTGGGGTGGTCATGGCAGCGAAGCTCTAATGATTCTCAGCTTCACCAGTGCTGGAGTGTCTTTGCGCAGGATCTGGCTGTCTCGAGAGGCCTTTTCCGACAGACCACTCACGGTCTTTCGAAGAAACACTCGTGACAGGCAGGAGGATCTTCCCTTCGTGCGTCTCTGACACCTTTTGAAAGTCTTTCGAAAGCCTGTGTGGGGAAGATGCGGCAGGTTTCGAAAGGCTTTTTTTTTTTGTTTTTTTTTTTCCATTAAACACCGGAGGGTATGCCAGCGGTGCTGATAAAAGCAGACACCCCTAGCATTCCCGGGAGGCTCCATCTATTGGTGGGCAGCGCGCCTGCTGGAAACCGGATCCAGCATCCCTGAACATTGTCTTTCTCCAGTAACTGCCTGCCAGCATTAGTTACCCTGAAGCCATACCCAAACCATTTTTGACAGTGGCGTGGCAAGCCCCTTAGAGGCTCGCCACACAGGTGGCAAGCCCCTTAGAGGCTCGCCGCACAGGCTGTCTAAAAACAGGTTTTCAATAATTTTGCATAGCCACATCAGACTTTGGAAGAATTGCGGCTCAAAAGAATTTCAACAGGTGTCGGAATGGTATGCTCCGAGTCGACAGCCACCCTCCCCCATCCCTTCCCTCCCCCCTGCAGGAGACGGAATTTCGAAATCGAAAGTGGCAGCCCCTCCTGCCTTCCGAGAATTGCATTCGAATTGTCAGGGTCTGGGACTGTTCCCTGACGCCTGTGCCCTGTGGAAAGGCCGAGTCCTTTTTTTTTTTTTTTTTTTTTTTTTTTTGCCGAGTCCATTTGGCCATGACCAAAAAGGGGGAAGGTCATAAAAACTCCCCGCGACAAAACCTTTGTAATTGTAATAGTTTGTATCCATTTCGCCCCTGCGGCACCTTTTTCGCGGTTTTAGGGGGACTTTCAAACCAAAACGAAGGTTTCGTCGTGGGGATGTTTTACGACTTTTCACGACCAAAAACCTTGTTGCCCCTCGACAGCCTGTGCACCGAAAGGGGGGGGGGGGGGACCAAAAAAAAAAAAAAAAAAAAAAAAAGAAAGGAGGGGGGGTAAAGTGTAGACCGCTGACTTTCTATTTTTTTTCTGACAGCAAAGAGTATCGACAGCCTGTGTGGCGAGCCTCTTAGGCGCGCGGGCGACCTAACCCTTCCCTGCTACCCGGCGACACCCTCGTTCTACGACGACATTCCCCATCTGGAAAGCTGCGCTAAACGACAAAACGCAACCAGTATAAGCGCGGCTTCCTGGCTGCTAACAAATCGATAGCCTAGCCAAGTCACACTTGGCCGAATACTAAACACTTGCGCAAGTTCTTTTCTTTTCTTTTTAAAAAAAAAATAAAAAAATTCTCGCCGGTGGGGTGGGGGAGTGCGGGGGCGGGGGCGAGGGCGGGCACGGGGGATGGGTGGGTACGGAGGTGCCGAGGGGGAGCAGCTCCATAGACGATCTGCCGCCTCTGATGGAGCTGCCCTTCCTGTTTTTTTTTTATAAAGCTGCATTTGCTATGAACTTGGAAGTGCCATACGATCTCGTGGCGCCAGTTAATCTGGCTATTGCTTTTCTTCGCACCTGAATCACCTGATGAAGTGTACATACTCTTTTGAGCTCGTCTAACGTCCCTTTCACTGTGACAGGTCTACCATAGCGTATAGGTGGTGGGTTGGGCCCCTGTGGCCCCAGGGGCAGTCCCTAAACACTTCTCCTGCCACAGTCTTTCAGTGTGAGTATGGCGTTCATTGTTTAAACCGCCATATCTAAGCTCCACAAGCTTCTGGAAATCGTTGGCCACTTATCTCTCGGGATCGACGAGGGTATTGAGGAAGGCTCGGAGAGATAAAGGGAGTAGAGTGCTGAGGAGGAGGAGGAGGAGGAGGAGGATTGGAAGGAATAGGAGTAGGAGGAGGAGGGTGTAGGTATGGTGGATTACTCACAAGGCTGCCAACGACGACGACGACGACGAGGAGGAGGAGGAGGAGGAGGAGGAGGAGGAGGAGGAGGAGGGGGTGGTGTATGTAGGGTGAATTGCCGCTCACAAGGCCGCTGCTGCTGTTGCTGAGGAGGAGGAGGAGGAGGAGGAGGAGGAGGAGGAGGAGGAGATAGCGAACTGCAACGAGGACTCGAGGAGTGAGGAAATCATGGAAATGTGCAGTCGAGGAAGTAAGCTTTAGGGGAGGTGGAGGTGAGGGAAGGCAGAAGGGGGGGACCACCATACGACCATAGCACTCGAACAAGTGCGCTCGCTGCCTGGCCGCGTGAGCATCGGTCAAGCCCTCACTCCCGCGATCGCTTCTTCACTTCCTGAGTCCCTTTTTCTCCTCTTTCTGAAAGTTTCTTTGTGCTTTCGAGCTGCAGCTTTTCGCTGTTCAGATGCTCTGGTAGTACTTGCCACTAGGTCGAGAGCTCGAACCTCTTCTCGAGATGCGCTCTCTGCTTTCTGTGTCTAATCAGCTCGGCGGCTATGGCGGCTATGGCGGCTATGGCGGAAGAAGAAGAATGATAGAGTTCCTGGAGGCTAGCAGGATTGTCGACAAGTTGCTGTGTCTCAGAAGGTTGTGAGAAGATTCCGAGAAGTATCTGAGAAGGTTATGAACCGAGCTCCGCGAGCGGAGCTGGATTCGAGATTCTGACTGCAATTCCGCGAGCTCGCCGACTTGTGTTCGTTCGACTGCAGTGGGAGCTGCTTTTTTGGATGCATCTGACCGCCATCACGTCCAGAAGGTGACCGACAGTTTAAAAACTCCTGCAGTGGTGTGAATTGAATTCCTTGAGCTTGACTACGTTTTCTGCGGGCAATCGTAGCTCTTCTCTTGGATGCATCTGACCGTCATTACGCCCACAGAGAGAGAGAGAGAGAGAGAGAGAGAGAGAGAGAGAGAGAGAGAGAGAGAGAGAGAGAGAGAGAGGGATCCGTTGACCAGATCCTAGTGTGAAATGCATCCATCGCCTAGTATGTGTATCCAACTGCAATCGGAGCTCTACTCTTGGATGCACCTGGCCGCCATTACCTCCAGGAACAGATCGGTTGACGAAGTCCTGGTGTGAACTGAATTCCACCCTCAAGCTCGACTTCGCGTATCCGACTGCAATCGGAACTCTACTCGTGCATGCATCTGACCGTCATTACGTCCAGAGAGCGATCCGTTCCAAACGCCCTGGTGTGAATCGATTTCTTCGCGAGCACGATCGTGGAGTGGAGGCAGATTCTGCACACTGGAATTCCTTGAACGGCAGGTCGCGTGTTCGAATCCCACTGCAGGAGGTACTTCTTTCTTTGGACGTCGAGCAGAAAGAAAAACCGCATGGATCGAACAGGTTGCCGCCATAGCCAGGAGCTCGATCTGTGGCCAGCTCGCTGATCGCCACCGATCCGTAACTCTATTTTTAGCTTTGGGATTTTTCGTTGACGGCCCTGTTGTCGCTGAGGACAAGAACAACATATTACTCCGACTTCTTTTTCTCCTTCTTCTTCTTTTTTCAATCAAGTCTACATATTTTCCTTATTCCTACTAGTCTACTACTGCCACCATGATCCCTTGTAGGTAGGGACTGAATGTATCTTTCCTTCGATCCTTGCTTCCTTCCTTGGCCACTCCAGCTCTATCAGCAGTATACAATGTCATGTTCATCAAGGAAAGCCGTAGGGTTGAGCAAATTGTAAGTATATACCTGCTCCCCCCCGGACAGACCGGCCTGCAGTTGCTTTTCTCTCTTTGCCGGTTTCATACTCCTCCCCTCCCCTCCTCCCCTTGTCACCCTCGATCGCTCGACTGCATGTCGTTGTTCCTCTCTCTAGACGATGTCCTTGTGCTCCACTGCTATTGCTCAAAATCCAGTCGGACTCAACCTCGGGATTTCCTTCTTGGTCGTCCGTATGAATTGACGTCGATAGCTCTTTGTCGATCTGCCAGTCAGTCTTTTTCCTCTCAGCGTGTTCCGGCTGCTCGTCTATTGATTGATTGCTTGATCGATTGCTTCTTGATTGATTGCTTGATTGATTTCTTGATTGATTTCTTGATTGATTGATCGCTCGCTGCTCGCTCGCTATTTCACTCACTGATCACTCGCTGATCACTCACCGATCACTCACTGATCACTTGCTGATCACTTGCTGATCAACCGAGTCTTCTCCCCCCGCTGGCGTTCTGATCGAGTGTGATCTGCCGCCCTCCCTCTTCAGCCCACTCTCTCTGAGGAGTAGTGACTCTCCATTGGTGTCGTAAGCGACTGGATAAGCTTCGACGAAAGCTCGCAGAAGCTGTCGGAAGATTCAACAAAAGCTTGCAGAAGCTTCAGGGAACCTTCACGGACAGCGGATTAGTGACTGTCCATTGTTGTTGTCGTCAACGACTGAGGCTTCACGGAAGGTTCGCAGATGCATCGCTGAATCCTCGCGATATCTCTCTCTTCACGTGCCAGGGCCATCACCGCGCTGCTTTGCTTATCGTTTGGCGAGCCCCACAACCCCACCCCAGCTGAGCAATCTGACGAGTTATACAGCACACTAGCTATCAAACCCCCATCTTTGTCATCGCCGTGCTTGCCGCTATCGCAGTTATCGCCGCCATAGCCGCCGCCATAGCCACCATAGCAGACAGGGCACGATGCAGAACCTGGTAACCTCCGCTCTGCTCTGGTTCCACAGCGCTTACCTTCGTCGATCGAAGAGTGCACGGATCGAATCCCTGTCCCCGCCGCAGTCGCTTCCTGTCTTTCAAAAGCTCCGCGATTATGTGGCATCTGACAAGGACGAGGACTGGGTTCTCCCGTCGGGACCCCGGCCGCTCGTCGGTCCTTATCAGCAGTGGCTGCTGATCGTTTCCTGCTTCGGTCTATCGCTTTCCGCCAGCATCGTTTACATGGTGTGGAAGCTGTCGCTGTTCTGGCGGCTATGGAGCACAGCGTCCGCCTTCTCCGTCTTCTTCTTGCTTGTCGAGTGGTGCTTGTTCCTGTCCATGTTCAGTTGGGCGATCGAGTTCTCGAGCCCGCCCACGTGTCGGAAGCAGCTGAGGTTGCCCCCCTCCGGGCCGTTTCCACGTGTCGCGATCCTGATCACCAGCTGCAACGAGGAGTTCGACGTGTTGCAGGACACCGTGCTGGCGGCGCTGTCGCAGAAGTACCCCCACGAAGCGTACACAGTGTGGGTGCTGGACGATGGCGGCGACGACGAGCTGCGCGACTGGGTGGAGGCGCTTGCGCAGGAGTCCGGGCGGCGGCTGCGGTACCTCCGCCGGCCCAAGCCGAAGGGAGTGCCGCACCACTTCAAGGCGGGCAACCTGAACCACGCCCTGGCYSGGATCACGGACGAGTTCATCGCCGTCCTGGACGCAGACATGATCACCTCCCCCGCCTTCCTCTCCAGCGTCCTGCCCCACTTCGCCTCCCCGAAGGTCGCCTTTGTCCAGACTCCGCAGGCGTTCTACAACACCCCGMGCGGRGATCCGCTGAACGGGAGCGGGCACTACTTCTTCGACATCGTGCTCCCCTGTCGCGATGCGGGCGGCAGCGCGCAGTGCGTCGGGACGGGRGTCGTCTTCCGCCGCAGCTGCCTGAGCGACGTCGGMTTCTTCCTGACGGGCGCCGTGACGGAGGACATCGGGACATCCCTGCAGCTGCACTCCCGCGGCTGGGACTCCGTCTTCCTCAAGGAGCGCTTCCAGATGGGGCTGACCCCCTGGACGCTGGAGAAGTACATCAAGCAGCAGCAGAGGTGGTGCTTGGGAGAGCTACAGGTCATCTGGCAGCGCGGGCTCATCTGGATCAAGGGCCAGGACTTCCCCCTCTACCGCAGGTTCATCTACTTCCAGGCCGCTCTGCATTCCTTCCTGGCCTTCCCCACCCTAGGGCTCATGCTGCTCGCGCAGGCGCTGTGCTATTTCGACCCCTCCGTGCTCCCCCTCGCAGCGGCCGAGAGCGACTACCGCATGCTCATAGTGTTGATGACCCCCCACCTCCTCTTCGGCAAACTCACCGCCCAGGCCATTCATCTGCGCCTCCCGGGTTTCCTATTTCGGCAACAAGTGCGCATCCGCGGAGAGCAGTGCTGGTGGTGGATGGCTCCCTACAAGTGCATGGCCGTGCTCCGCTGGCTCGCGCCTTGGATCCCGAAGACGTTCGAAGCCACAGGGAGCAGGAACGCAGAGGGGGGTGGAGGGGGAGGGGGAGGGGGAGGTGCCAGGGACGTCGCCGCCATGTGGAGGTCCGTCCAGCTCGTCGGCTTCCACCTGCTGTACGTCGTCGTCGGATTGGTCGGGATCGGGTGGAGGATCTCCATCTTGATCTTGAACCCGCGCAGCTGTCCCGACTTGATGAAGTCCACCTTCGCCATCCTCTTCTCCCTCATGGCCGTTCAGCAGACGTGCGAGCCGATCCTCTCGGAGTTCTTCCCGCCGTCTTATCCTGCGGAATCGGACAGAAAATCTCTGCTCAAGTATGACAAAGACGGGGTACCCGTCTACCGTCACGATTTCGGCATCGTGCCCACCGACTGGCGAGTGCTGTTGTTGGATATCCTCCCGGCACTCCAAGCGCTTCTGTGGATCTACTTCACGTGGGTGGCTTTGCACCCGGACTACGTTCCCAGCTATTGCGATGGAAGCTTCTTAGTAGGCACGCCCATCTGAGAGGAACCCCGGAGGAAAGGTAGCAGCTCTCTCTCTCTCTCTCTCTCTCTCTCTCTCTCTCTCTCTCTCTCTCACACACACACACACACACACACACACACACACACAGACACACACACATGCATGCATTTCCGGCTGTTGCGATGCAGACTTTTTAGCAGGCATGCACATATGTGAGAGAGAGAGAGAGAGAGAGAGAGAGAGAGAGAGAGAGAGAGAGAGAGAGTCTGCAAGAGCTGTATGGGAGGGAGGAGGAAAATAAGTATTAGACTGAAGGCTGTTGTCGCTCTCTGGAAGCCTTGATTTATTGATCGGGAGGACCCCAATCATTGCGTTCTTTTGCACTCTCCTTTCTTTTTTTTTGCTTTTTTCGACGCGGGGTTGGTTTCTGATGTGGTCATCACTGTGCTCTGAATCAGCCTGCCGAATTGGCCGAAAAAGACGCCATCTATATTGCCCGAAATACGTTCTCCATTCCTTTCTAACTATGCATGGCAGTCGTGGAATTTGTAGGTCGTGAAAGTCGTCGTGCATTAGGCGTTGGGGGTTTTGCCACCAGGGGCCAAGTCCCACTAGCAGCGTTGAGCTGCGTCAACGCCTGAATGTGGACGCTTTTGCGGAGATGTGCAGAAATGATGTTGAGTTTCCTGAACTGCACGTCTCACGTCCAGATTCAGGCGTTGAGGTAGCTCAACGCTGCTAGTGGGACTTGGCCCCAGGAGGAGATCCAGTAGCCTCAGGTAGGCACAAGTAAGGCCGTCTTTGGAAGGGATATTTTTTCTCATTTCTTTCTTCAGGCGGGCAATTTTTTTGGTTGAAACACCGTGGTATCAACTTTAATGGTTTTTTTTTTTTTTTTTTTTTTTTTTTAGAAGTTGTCACTTTATATTTCAAGACAAAAGTGGTCGAGTCCGGGGACCTCACAAATCTACCCGGTGTTGACGAGGAAAACCTGCTGGAAACCGGGTCCAGCGTCCCACGACCACACAGCCTCAATAGGAAAAAGAACTCCTCACAATAGCCTTGAAGCACAGAAAAAAGTGGCTGAACTAACTATAACAAAGCTCTAGCTCTCCAATCCTTCAGCCTATAACGTGATATCCTTGTAGCGCAGAAGAAGTACAACCCCGGCATGTTTCTAAAATCGAAACACTACTGGCAAAGAACTACGAATTATTATCTGCAATTCTCGAAAATGCACAAGGCAATTCACGAGGATTTTACCGTTTTAAGTTTTAACCCTAAAATTATTCCAAAGGCGAACTAAATTATCCAAAATTTCGAACCAAGAACGTACAAACTACAGACTAGACGTAGTAATATTGTCTCCAGAGAATAAACGATTAAAAAACAGCCAATCCCAATTCCAAGATTTATCAAATTACGAAAAAAAGAATCTCGATAACTAAGCCTGGGAAGGAGAAATAGTCATTAGGGTTACCGTCTCAGCCTCACTATCCAAAACGCTGTAAAGAGCCTTTGTTGCCTAGGCGGGTTTCCCACCACGCACCCAATGGATACAACTCTAGTTTGCTCTTCACCGGGTCTCTCATATCAGCCCTACCCTGTGAGAATCATCCACAACATATCCCAGAGAATCTATAAAGTATTTAACCCATCGCCCCCGGGAAACGTTCCCACTGCAGCTAGTGAGTCTCCCACTCCCTGTTGGCGCCGCCACCCACAGGTCATTAAAACAATCCAAATTCCGAAGATTACAAAATATCAAACTTACAACACACCAACTTCCGAAGATCTGCAAGATATATCAAACTAGAAGGGCAATCTTCAAAACGGAGTTGGGAGAGGAATAAACATTAGGGTTACCCTCTCAACCTCACTATCCCAAACGCTGTAAAGAGCCTTTGTTGCCTAGACAGGTTTCCCACCACGTACGTACCCAATGGATACAACTCTAGTTTGCTCTTCACCGGGTCTCTCATACCATTCAACCCTGTGAGTAACACCCTAAACCAATACAAAGGTACCCCAGTCGCTTAAGAGTATCGAGACTCTGTGAATCTCGATCATGCATGAAAACACCATACCACTAGTACAAGCGATAAACAAGAACACCACCCAACTAACTTGAACGATAAAAAACCTTCAAACTAAAGTGTGAGCAAAAATCCCCAGGATGGCTATAGGTAGAGCGTGGAACATGCCCCACAGCACTCCAGGCGTAGGTGACCTTACATCACTGTTTCCTGCGCTCGAATCGCGACATCGCCAGCAGCAGTAGCGGTCCCAAGACAAAGCTACAAACTAAGGTCATCAAACACGCGAGGGAAAGCGCTGTGCAGATGTTCCAACAGATATCTCAAATTCTCAATCATTCGAAGACCTTCAAACTACACCATAGCCTGGGAACGGAAACTAAACAAACTATAAAGAGCAAAAATGACAACTGACTTAAGTGAATAGCACCAAACATGAAGTGTATGAACCTCGGACTGCCTTGCGCCATAGATAGGTCGACAGAGACTTGCTATAGCCCTTGGACATGCCGAAGCGCTGCCACCGCAGCCGCACGCTCTCCCACTGCGTCCAGATAAGCCGCTCCGCCATCCATGCTTTCTTAGTGACCGAGGCAATCAAAATGACGTGTCCTGAATGTCCAGCGCCCGGCCTTTGGATGTTGAAAAAGGATCCCCCCTTTCCAGCAAAAGGCTTGAGGGGAGGACGGCTCCTTTGGTGTCTAGATCCTGTTAGGTATAAAGGTTGGTATAGATGTCAGGGGTAGAGTATGGAGCTGCCAGGATGCCATGGCGTAAGAGTGCAAGGCACTCCCCTCCCACTCAAGGGCAAGGCTACGCCAGGGCACTGTCGCCATAGCTCTCACACAGCTATGGTGCCTGGCAACCTACGCAGCCGCCTCCGACGACCGGGCGCCGCCACCGCCGCTAACGCAGGCGGCCCTCCCCCGCCAACTTTAATGTTTTTTTTTTTTTTTTTTTTTTTTTTATTTTGCATCTTTTTTTTTTTTTTTTTTTCTTATTTCTTTGTGACAAAACATTATCTGACTAGAATTTTTCCCAGAGTCACATACAGCTGCTATAATGTTCTGATCAGTTTAACTGCTTTTAATTAAAAATAATAATAATAATAAATAATGTTCTGATCACTTTAATATCTGATCCATGGTTCATCGGACCATTAATAGAAAAAAAAAAAGACCGAACGTTGTATTCGGGGGAAGACACAATACACAGTCGCGTTGTTAGTTTTTTTTGGACCGATAATGGTTTTGTTTTCCGCCTTCCCAACTGTAGACACAATACGATAGCTCTTGCTCAGGATGAGACATTCTGCAGCCCGGTGCTGGATCCGGCCAGAGTTGCTGGAAACAGTTCAAACAGGACTGGGTCTGCTCTCTTTCTGTAAGGGACGCCGGGCCCGTTTCCCGGTTTTATAAATGAATGATTCTTCCTGTTTAAATTAAAAAAAAAAAAAAAAAAAAAATGTAGACACAATACACAGTTGCATTTTTCTTTTTTTTTTGGGCGTGTGATTTGTTTTCTTCCTATTCTTCCTATTTATTGTTGAAGTCCTTTTAAAATGGGTCGATGCTCTTCATTGACTTGAATTGTGTCTCACGTCGTGTCGCGTGCACGTGCGCGCGGAAATTCTCGTTGCCCTTTTTTTCTTCTTCTTTTTTTTCCACAAAGAATGGCATTGCGCCTTTTTTTTTTTTCTTGTTTTTTTGGGTGAAGCAGGGTATTACCCTATATTCCATTTTTAATAATAATTCTTTTAGCAGTAAATAGTTCACAGTTTTCGCCTACTACATAGGCTGCCAGAGTGGCCTGGGGGCAAGTCCCACAGCAGCGTTGAGCTACCTCGACGCCTGAATCTGAACGCTTTTGCGGAGATGTGCAGAAATGGTGTTGAGTTTGCTGAACTGCATGTCTTCACAAACACGTCCAGATTCAGGCGTTGAGGTAGCTCAACGTTGCTAGTGGGACTTGGCCCCCGGGGCCAATGCCCCACGCACACCGTTGACCGAGTTCATCGTTGACGGACTTCCACGCGCACGCGCGACCCGGCGCTACCTTGGAGAGTCATTTGATGTGTCCTCGGACCTCGTGAATCCAGGTTTTTAATCTGGCTTTCTTGAATTTGCCGGATTTGTCCCCTAGTCCCCTCACTGGGCCTCACATTCCAGTCGCAAAATTAATTTTGACCATTGGAACGTGGTGGTTGCGGTGGATGATTTGATCCGCAGTGCTTTTTCCTCAGTGGGCACTCGTGATGACTTTTGTCTCCTACCTGGCTCGTTATCCGAAGGGGAGGTCCAAGGAGTCATCAGAAGGTTCCGGAAAGGGACTGAGCTCGGTTGCTTGTCCAGGGCCAGCGAGAGACAGACTTCTGCAACAATTGTTGCATCGACATCTGAGGTAATGAATGTCTCCTTGCGTTCTGTTGTTTCTTTAGCGGCCAGCCACGTGGCCGGGAGCCAGACAATTCCTTGTGTAGCCAAGAGTGCGGCCGTGTCAGTAACGATTTTTGCATCGATTACTGCTATAATATGGAAGTGCCAGCTTCCTCCGGCTGCCGCTGTCACCGTTTTCCGACCTACTCGGATTCCTGGAATTAGCCGAAAGGGGAAGCTGTCCGCTATAAACGTAGCAGCTGCAGTGCGGACAGAGTCTTTTCCGGAAGGGGAGGAGTCAATGGGTACTCAGGGGATAGCCAGAAACCCATTTTCCAAACGTTTGGCAAGGAATTTGGTGCTCTGTGGGGAAAGAGAAAAGCAGAGAAGTATTAGTAAATGGGAGGTGGTCCCTGGGGGGGGTCCTGCTCCTGCTTTCGGTGCCGATGAGGCGCCGGCAGAAGAATGGCCTGCTGCGAAAGAGTCTCTGGGGATGGAGATGAAGTCTATCTCTGTTTGGTCTTCGTCCCTGGTGACCTGTCCTTGACCTTCGTCCCCTACTCTTCGTTGTTTGACGGGGTTACGGAGTGAAGGCCTGGGATCTCTCATTTGCGGATCATTCTGTGGGACAGACGGTTGGTGGGTGGGGGTTAGGGGGGTGAGTGTGGCCCTGTGTGGGTGCGTTGTTGGGGGTTGTGTGTGGTGGTCGGGGTGGTAGGGGAAGGTTGGGCTGATTCAGTTGCAGGGAGTGATCGAAAATTGGGTTTGAGTAGACCAT